GTTATCATTGTTCTGATTAAGTCAATTATTTTAAGTATGTTGGTGATCTGAATGTTTCCATGCCTGTTTCTCGCAGTCGGACTGTTCCAAAATAAATACCTTTTTATCGAAAAATTAGTCATTGATCTATTTCAGCTGGTTTTAATCTAAATCTCCTCAAATATCAGATTGTTAATTTCACTTTCAGACGCATAGGTGATTTACATGAACCTTTTCGTGTACATGATTATTGTATCATAGAAGGCACTGAATTTCAAATTAAGTCGAGTGCTGAATACCACTAGATTATATACTTCTTCTGATCTTTCCTGGTCTCAGCATATTTTTATTTATTTAAATTTTGATTACAGCTTGATTCCACACTGTATTTTTGGTACAAGTATGGATTTTCAGCATGGATATCGGTAGCCCAAATTTTGCAGGCCAACCATAGATATCAGGTGTGCATTGACAGGGGATCGAACCTCGGGGCATGTTCATGGTCGGCGAGAGTCCTAACACTGTGCCACCGACGCACATATTAATTTCTCGAAAAAAATATTTCATCTAACATTCTGAGTAAGAAAGTTAAGACATTCTGGTATCACTCAGTCTCTCTAATTTTAGTCTTTGTCAATTCTCTGCTTAGTGTTTCCTAGAGTAGTTCAGAGCGACTTTGTTGTACTACGAAGGGTATCAGAAGCTGTGGAAAAGTTGAGTGGGATGTGACTAAGCCAACGCGTTAGTATTGTCATGGTTAGACACTTGAACTCATGCAAGAAAATGGAAAATATCCTCCTGTCATACTTTCAAAATACTCTATATACATAAGCCAAGTAGGACTAAAAGCATTCAAAAAAAGACTTTGTTCTTGGACGATGAAATATTAAAACTTAGTGAGGCCTTATTAGACACACATTTCATGTAATGAGAAAGGTGTTAGGCATGAAATTGGTGACTTACTGAGAAACAGTAAGTAAACGGAGTCCTTTCTATCAATAATAAACTGTTGTAAATATTTCTCCTGAATTTCAGCTTTATATTCATATCCTTATTGACATAATTTTTGATGTAAGTTCCCTTTTATTTATTTCTCCCTTTATTATCTAATGTAAAGAGAGAACCAGATAGACTTCTGTACTAAGTGCTGATAATTCCACACTATATCGAATGTGTTCCTTGGAATAAAGGTATCATTACGATTACTGTCGTTGTCATGTCATTGGCATAGTATAGTGCAGCACGACTCTTTATCGGAGATTCCCTATGTGGTTGTATAATATTCCTAAGGAATCAAATATATTTACATCACAATCAGGTTTTTGTATTTCCATTAGTCAAAAGGAATAGAAAGTCAACCTCCGATGTGTTAGTTAGGATTCATTGACCGTTTAAAAAGCCTACAAATTGCTTTTCCTCTGTGATTTACCTTGATTAGGATTTAACAGAGTTTCGTGGTTAGAATGCCATTCTGCAGTTGTACAAAATGAAGTAGGTCAAAGGAGGTTTGGACTTCAAAATCTGCTGACTAGAATTTGTGTCCTTTAGTAGTAGTGGCTTGACTAGCAATCCAAGGGCTGGTGTTTTGAATCCTATTGTACACTAGGCTTTCAGCTCATTCTCATAATTACCCACCACATATACAAGAGTCTGACAACCCAAAGATATTTCATCAGATTTCCTAACCATCGATTTGTTCATTATTTGTTAAACATTCTAAGTGATATTTTTGTGTATAAATGCCAGTCTGTTAATTCACATTATGAGTTTTGTAAGGATTGTACATTTTGTTACTAACCACTATGATTTAGTGTATCACTAGGAACAGAAAAGAGGGCTGGAAATCTGTTTCTTCCTTCTTTGAAGCATGACCTCACCAGGGATAGAACAAATAACGTGACTATGAAGTCAAGAATCCGGCTTCTCAACTATTCAGACCCTTAACTAGAATTCAATAATTCTTGAATCCTAACTTTTATAACTTCGTGATGTATAACTAACCCACGGCCAACACTGTCCAGTGCTCCGTAGTTGTCAGTAATTCTCTAACTTATGTTGCTTCGTCATGAAATTTACATTAATATGTATTGTCGAAAAATGGGTTTTGTCTGATGGGTGTATTGGCTAATAGTTCTTCTGTACTCTAATATCATCACTCTGTTGAGAACTTATTTGGGTAGTAAACCATTGCTGCATGAGCAGTAATCACTCGGATACACCACTCTTGTAGAATAACCAGGAAAAGATATCATTTTACAGTATTTGTCTTTTAATAGTCTTATTTAGGTTTCTGCACTCAAGGATGCTTACCCGCTAGTCAATTTTATTCCTTCACGTTCCCAGTGGAACATAGGGGGATGGGGTTGCTAGCCTCAGGCCAAACCTTTCCTCTTTACCAGCGCTTTTAATATTGGCTTAGAGAGAGATTAAAGGAGTGAGTCGGCGGGGAATCGAACCCCAGACTATGTGCATGGTCGGCGAGCATCCTAATCGCTATGCCACCGACTCACTACCCGCTAGTCAATTAGTTAAGACTAATTTTTTCGGAACAGACAATTCATGTACCAAACTATCGGTAATACCTACTGTGCGAGACGTGATGATGTCTACCCACTTGCCCAGTTAGAAGTAAGTAGAGAGAGGTTTTCAACCTCGGGGCTCATTGACTGACTGAAAGTCGAGGGCTTAGTCCAGCGAACCATTCAAACTTGATCACAACAAAACAATAATCTTTAGTATTCAATAACCTTTATATCACCTTTGAGTTTAGATTAGTTTAAATTTCAACCATTAGTCATGCATTCAATGAAAGAGTATTCAGAAACCTTTCTGTCTCTCTCTCTCCTTTCATCCTATCATCCTGACCATGAAATCTGTGACTTGACACCAACTTACCATAATAATTTTATTTCAAAATTACTTATCTCCATAATATGTCTTATTCACAGTTTATCTAAGTCCTTATGCTCCAACAAAATAGTTACCTTTGCTTGAACCATTAGTCTGACCTATATGATTGACCTCAAAATTAATTAGTAAATACAGCTATAAAAATCGATATAGGTCTTAAATCTAAAAGCATTTGGTTCTAAGTGAACCTTTCAAGCACTGAATGTTAACTCATGCTTAAAACCCATCCTTCCTCTCGATTAGTAAAAGAAATACCAAAATCTCTTTTGATTACGTCATGACATAGGATACTTCCTGTTGACCGATATATTGACTACATCCCTACAGGAAATCAATCTTCAGTCAGAGCAGTTTAGTGGTAACGTCACGGACTGCAAAACGGTGTGGTACAGGTTCAAATCTCCAAAGTGACATCATTTGCTGAGAGAGATTACAAATACAGTCTGCTGATGTGCGCCAGTACGCATGACTTTTAGATCTAAGACATGCTATTCATCACCTCTAAATGCCTAACATTAATTTCTTCTAACTTTAATGTCCCGCCTTCATTTGTTCCTTAACAAAAACATCAGAGAACTATAAGTAACTGAATGACAGAACTTCCTTAGTGTGCATCAAACTTCAATTACTTTAACATGATTACAAATAATATATTGTGTACTTGAATTTTCAGTCACTACCTTTTCGGTGTTCTCTAAGCTGCATGAATTTGAATTATCTTTTGGACACCAACAAGAGTGGAATAATGCACATTGAGAGATGCTTCTCTAATACAAATATGCTTAATCTCACGCCGCTAATATCATGGGCTGACCACTTCTCCACTTTCTTCACTCATTCGCATGGCTAGCAAACAGTTGCTAGGGCGATATTCGTAGCACATGTCTTTTTTTGATGTGGTTGTGTTCTCTGAGAGCTGAATAGTTTATTTGCGAAGATTTCATCGCCTAGTAGGGCGGTACTAGGCAACATCTTCAGCTCATACTTCAATTTGAAGTGAGATTTTAGATTTCTCCACAAGTATATTAGTCATCTCTCCTGATGGGTGACATTGAATGCGATTGGTTGTTTTTGTGTGTTTTCACACCCTCTAGGCCCCTTGTATTGGAACTGATAGTTTCTTTGACTTGAACTTTTACCCTTTGTGTGTGAAGTTTCTTTCTTATTGGTTGATAAATTTTGTCTATCTCGATGTGTCTATTGATTGATGATTCATTGGAATGCCAAGCTTCTAAGAATTCTCTAGCTTCTTATTGTTTCCTCCGTCTAATATTTGAACGCTGGTTGTCCCAGTCGAATTGATGTCCGTGGTTGTCTGTGTGTAGTGAGGCGATATGAGGGAGTGGATATCATGTCTTTTGACGGCTAGCTTATGTTCGTGGATACGAAGACGAAAGGGACGTCCACTTTGGCCAGTGTAGAGTTTTCGCAGTTGTTACAATTTATTTTGTAGATGATGTTGGTTTTATCTTCGTTTGCTGTTGAGTCTTTTGGTTGACATAGAAATGAGTGAAGTGACTTTGTTGGTTTGTGTACGACATCAATTCCTAAAGGTTTGAAGAGTCTTGCAGTGAATTCTGAGATATCCTTTATATATGGTACTTTCCTTCGGGGCTTTTGACTTGACATGAAAGCTTTGCAAATTAACTCTCTAGCTCAAAGAGCACAACCACATCAAAATCCTCCACCTGAGCTTCAAATCTTCTCCACTTTCCCTAAATCTCACCAGTAGTGCATGTCTAAACCACCGAAGACGAGTGAAATCACTCAGTGAAAAGTGACCTTCAGTGTGTACACATACCCGCTGTTTAACCTCTAAATTATTTGCATTAAGGATGTTATCGGATATCAACCATTCTACTCAGGGAACGGTGATCACATAAGCGGGGACGTTACAGCTAAGTGTAGATTAAGACTGGGAGCATCGACAGACAGACAGCCAGACAGACTATCATTGCCATGGCAATAAAGATGGTCCAAGGTTGGCATATGCCAAACAGGATAATTAACAGCATCAAGGCCAAAGACATTCGGAGATAAATAGTACTGATAATAAAATATAAGTACTAATAGTACTAGTATTATTAATAATAATAATAATTAAGACTCACCTTATATTCTTGTCCTCTCCTGCTTGCTAGTTATATCATTGATACAATCACATAAAATTTCTATTTTCATTTATCTATGTTAATTTTATGTTGATTTTGTAAGCACGCAGAGTAAATGTATATAAATGTTTACAAATAAGTTTTTTTGTAATTGCTTATTTCAATCAATTTGAGTATAGAATATAATCCAACAATCAAATGTATACGAAAAATGTAGAAAACGGACAAAATTCTGACAAGTATCCAGACACTTGAAAATGTCGAGGCGAAAGGCAATAAGCAAACACCGTGAATAGTTGTTGTATCAAACTATGCATTGTTTATTCAGTTAATGCATATAATAAATACTCTGGTTCCATAAGATTGAGAGACAGACACACACACTGGTAGACACATAAAGGGAACCAATCACGTTAAAGCTAATCACATTGATGAAATTGTCTAAATCGAATTGGCAATTCGCTAATTAATTAGTGATTTACGATTTACTCAGTTCAAAGAGGTGAATTTACACCACAATTCCTTTTGCAAACCAAAATTAATCAGATCACCACAACACATTATCTGCTCGATAGCTTAAGAGCGAATCGAAAAGACAACCATTAAAGCATGCGACTATATAGAAATGATTGATTGATTTAAGTGAGTAGTTGTCTACCAGTGACATGAAGTATCAGTAGTGTTAGCAAGAAAGCTCCAGGTGATGTAAGCACCACATGGCTGTTTCTGTCGTCTCGGTCAGAGGTCATCAGCACTGTACACAGTTTAACTGAGGTCAGAGAGCTGAATTAGTTGAAAGTAACCGAGTTGTGGTTAGCCATTTGGGTCAGCTGCTAACATCTTCGGTAGAATTCGCAATTTTCAATGTAGACAGTTTCATGAGGGAAAATTCAACACTACAGTTTCCTTCAGAAACTAAAATTACCCAAATCACAGTAGATAATCTTGTGGACACCGTAGATGGCAATCATGAAAGTAAACATAGTACACCTCGATCCGGTTAATAAACATTGCTGATTCATGTTTACTTCTACCGATTTACTAGCATCAAGTTACTTGTTTGATTGTGGTTGACGCTGAAGTCCAGGACGCACTGTTTCTTCCTAATTGATTGATGATGTTGACGCTGAGTCTTGAAATCAAGCAGAATGTTATTGTCCGCAAGACATCTGATCTACACATGATGCCGAGGTAGGGGGCATATCTAGCTGGTGGGTCCTTAATAAAAAAACGATGCTTTCCACATTCCATTGCTAGACATCGGTAAATAGTCAACTTAATTAGGAGTTTAGGGGTGAAAAGATGAAAAATAGACATTAAGTCATGAAGAAAACTTTCTTTATTGTGACTAACTTCAGAGGCTGAATCGTATTCTATTTTCACCTTTTACTCAGTGGATATATTCGGCTTTTGGAAATGAAGTGAAAACTCTGGGATAATGAAAGAACTTCATACTTTTTTAAGACTTCTGTCAGTTTCACGGTGGCGATGGCGAGAATAAGTTTTGTGCAAAACAGCATAGATAAGCAAGAATATCTCAAGCATTACTGAAATTGATTTCGTCACAGCCATATGCCATTAAATCATCGCACTTTAAAATGTCATAAACTGATGGAACAAAATATCGATTACCAGAGGCAGGAAGGAACACTTCATTTGGAACACATACTTTGTTTGAACTAACAGAAGAAAAACAGTTTCAGGTAAATATCATGAAGATATGAAAATTAACCCTTACAAACGAACTATAGGAGAAGATATGAATGTCAAACGCCCAAATAGTTTCAAAGCAGGTGATATTTATTTGGGTTTCACTACCATACAAGATAACTAAGCTTTCATTTACTCCAGCATATTACTAATTCTTATCCAAAAGCAAGCTTTGCCATCGGGTCATAAATTCTAGGATATTTCTGAAAATTTGTATGATCTGCATATAAAAGTCCACTTAGAAGGACCAATCTATCAGACCAGTGGTCTCTTTTCAGTGTCAATCAAATCACTTGAATAATTCAAGTCAACAGCCTTGAACAATTTTCATCAGTATGTGAATACTAAACCAAAAATGAAGCGACTGATTTTAGCTAAGCATAAAAAGCAGCCAAGTGTGATTTTGAGAAATGAAGACCAGCTACTGATCCATCCAGATAAAGATACTGGCAACATCTCAGTGAATTGACAAGACTATTCTATCTATTATATCGGAGGAAATGAAATTCTCATAAGAAACCAGCTAGAAAGACCAAACTGAACAAATTGTAGGAAATAAATTTGTCATCAGCATCTGTGACCATCGAGTTTTTGTAGTTCCCAGGTTATATGGTCTCCCGAAAGTGAACAAACATAACCTACCATTATGACCAACTATGGTCAACTAGCGTCGGTGGCACAGTGGTTAGGACTCTCACCGACCATGTACATGCTCCGAGGTTCGATCCCATGCCAACGCACACCTGATATCTATGGTCGGCCTGCAAAATTTCGGCTACCGATATCCATGCTGAAAATCCCATACTTTTACCAAAAATACAGTGTGGAATCAAGCTGTAAATCAAAAAAAAATATTGATATGACTAATTCACCATACAATGCAACTTCGAAATGGTTCGTAGAGATCCTTCTACTTATGGAAAGTAACCTCATAATGTGCGATATTCTCAGGAGATTTTTGATTTATTAGCGGTGATAATGTATCCAGAAAGAGAATATTTCCTCTGGATTTCTTCTCTCTCCTCATCAATGACCTTCTTGCAGAAACTATTTGCTCTATATACAAATTCATCAACGAATGGGTACCCAGATATAGAAGCTTGTTAGTTGACCATTCCACGTTGGTTTTCTATGGATCGGTTTTCTTAGGCTCCCATCAGTTCTTCTCGTTAGTTCCACATTAAGAAACGGAATTTTTGTCTCGTTTTCTATTTCAAGAGTGAATTTTATTGCTGGATGGCAACTGTTAAATGTCTTCAGCAGTAGATTGGGATCGTTTTTGTTATCACGAATAGTGAAAATATTGTCCACGTATCTTTTATATAGTCTTAAATTGTCAATGCTTGGCTTTAGTGGACCTCTCTCGCGGCTTGCCACAAAGCAATCTGATAGTTTTGGACCCAACGGAGATCCTATTGCAGTATCAACTTTTTGTCTACAGATGGTGTCGTTGAATGTGAACAGGACATCCAGAGTGCATTTCAGTAGTAATTCCTTCAAGTATATTGTTGGTATTCCAATACTGAGGTGGGTGTCATCTATATATCTGCATATGAAGCAGACCGTTTCCGTGAGTGGGACATTGGTGAAAAGTGACTCAATGTCGAATGACAACCTAATTTTGTTAGATACATTCATCTCTCATATGCAGTCGACAGACTGAAAGGTGTCACGGAGCGAGTGCGTACATAATCCTTTCCTTACAGGTTCCAGAATATCTGCTAGCCATTTTGCAATGGAGTGGTAAGGGGAACCTGACATATTCAGAATTGGACGAAGTGGGAACCCAAGAATTATCTCTTATTTTTCATTCACTGTCCTTTAACTTAACCTGCTATTCTACTGACTACCATTGTGTTGGAAAATGCAATGTTTCTAATCACTTTTGGAATACGTGGGAATCTTGCTAAATGAGTACAAATCAAACTTCTTCAAACTGCAGAAGCAATGGCAGCTCACATGTTGAATCCTGAAATCTGGATACAAAACAAGCTTGATGAGTCATTAAATCTACAGTGGACCTGATCTACCTTAATACCAAATACGTAATTTTTGTTATGTCTTTTACTTCTTTTAATTCATGAATAATGCTCAACCGTATATTATTGATAGCAAAATACGTAGTCCAGTGAAGAGTGACTTTTCGGCTAATTCATTCACACAGCTGTGCAATTGCAATTACATATATACTTATTTCGTTTCGTATTTGTGTGTGTACATTAGGTTGGTCCGATAAGAATAAAAACTGGTTAGGGTTATTGTTGTCAAGACATTTTAAAAATGTGATGAATTATCAAATTGCAACTAGGGGTGGGGTGGGGGTGTAGATCGATGTGAAAGTAGTAGTGATGAGCTGTCAAAAACACAGTTATTCATGTTAATCAACACATAAAAGAAGCTGAATAGGCGTAAAACAGGTACGTAATAGGATGAATAGTTTAATGAATGAGTTGTGATTAGGATTCACATAGAAACAAAGGAAAAAATGAAATTATGTAAGAGTTGTAAATATTACAAATGTTATAAAGACTTAGGAAAGTAACAAAGAAAGTGCACAAACACCAAGTCATTGGAAGTCAACGCGGTTGTTACCGTGATAGTAGGAATGGTCGCATGATTTTCTTTCGCGTACATAACTCTGGCTTCTCCAACTGAATGGCTAAGGCCTCAGCAATACAGAGAAGATGAAAGCGTATTGCCCTCGGTAGGTTATTCTTCATTTTGCAGATCACTTTGAAGGAGGAGGCGTATGCTGAGATGGAATGACCAGTGTTGACGAGATGTTCGATTATCACACTCCTTTTATGGCCAGTATTCTTATTCTTATCGAACCAACCACGGATCACGGATTGATATCTTTTAGAAAACCATTAAGAACCAGCACTGCAGTAGTGGACAATCAGCTGTTTGATCAGTCTAGTTTGGGAATCATCGACAGAATGTACCAACCGGATTTCGAACACAAACCTTCTGGCTGTTAAACGAGCTAGCTCGTAGACCATTCAGCCACTGGGATCCTACCCTTCGATGGCCAGCCTATAAAATCTAACTTCAACTAATTTGTGATTTCAGCGTGACCACCAACCAAAATGTCATCAGTGAGAAATCCATTTGTATTCACTAAAAAGGCAAAAGTATCTTAATAAGAAGACTTTCATTCTGTTCCACTTTCAACGATATCCGTATAATCAGAAATAGACGAGATGTATAATTCATCAATTTTGACTGCTCACTTTTAATAAAATCGTATTACGTTAGTTCCTCCTTGGGGGATATTTGAACTTTACTTATCACTCTAACGTCTTTCATCAGTTCAATTACATAATTTACCTATATATATCAGGTTACAAATGCATTATTTTACGAGTTTGTCCACTGATTGATATCAAATAGAGAATCATTGAAAACCGGTACTGGATTACTGGGTAGCTGTTTCATCCTAGTTTGGAAATCATTGGCAGTACGCACCCCTATTGCCATGGCCTGAATCCAAGACTTTCCGGTTACAAGGCGAGCTTGTATATCATTCAGACTCGATTCGATGGCACATGGATTCTAACTTATACCAACTTGTCATTTAGCGCTGAAGGGTATACGAGTTTGCCTTGTAACCAGA